TTTTGGATGGTTCTCTTTGGGGGTTTTACATTGGGGCAGAGGAGATTTGGCCATTGATGATCTTGTGTGTAATGGTCGGCTAGAAGAGAACTCTGATGAGATATATAACTTAAATAAATACATTATATAAAGTATTGTGATGATTTATTTGAAAAAAATAGATTTGTATTAGTAAGAACTGGAGATGATAAATTTCAATATTACAAATTTATTTTACATAAATTATAAAGCATTAATAAGATTAGAAATAGTAGAAATATTGTTGTTGTAATGTTAATTATTGGGTTAATAGGATGACCCTTTAGCTGTGTTAGGTGGGTAGAGCCAATGATATTTTACAAATAAGGCATGTGTTCGAGTTACATTCCATGTGCCTTCTTTATTTTTCTTTTAAAATTTTCAAATTTAAGGCCCTTAACTTTGATAATCTATTATTTGTTTTTTTTCTTTAAATTTAAAACCATAAGTTGCAGAATAAGCCCTATAATTCTATAATTTTCAATTCTATAGAGGCAATCAAAGCCAATATGATTCAAGATGTGATATCATTTGTAACACCACATTGCTTATAAAACGTTTATATGTTATGGTTGTTATAAAATTCATGACATATAGTCATGCATCAAAATATGGTTCAATAAGAACATCAAAACAAAAAAATGTTTTATCGGAGTTCACATTTTCTTGGTTGTTACAAAATAATATCACAATCATAGATATGGAAATGGAACACACAAAAGTCTATGATTGTTATGTATTCTAAAACCCCCTCTAACTGTAATATTCCAAAACTAATGATAATTTTTCATTTTTAAAATTGTCAACACCATACATCACAAAACCATCATAAAAAATGTATCAAAAACATCAGAGTAAAATGATCATCGATGCGGAAATCGTAAGGGGATGTGGTGCAATCATTAATCCCATAACTATAATTGGTATAAACTTGAATTGATAGTGGCACAGTCATTTTGGGTTGCCTTCAAACCTAGCAATTGAATAGGATAATTATTAGAGATAGAAGAATAATTTATTAATTTATTACTTGGGTAATAAATTCATTATAAATTAAAATAAATGATTTATTAATGTATTATGGAAATAATATATTAATTAGAAATCATAATGTTTAATTAATATTTAATCAGAAGTTAATTTGGAATTAATTTTAGGATTAAAGGAAATAACTGAAACTGCAGGGACTAAAGGTGACAATGTTCAATAGTTGAGCATTGAACATTCTATAACCTCCCTAAGGGGGTGGGGGGGAACAAATTCTAGGGTGTTCCTAGGGTTTCCTTGGGCTCTAAGGGTACCTTCGATGCCTTAGGGAGGAAGTTAAGGGATTAGGGTTATCTTGGATACACCTGCCTAATCCAATACCTTCGTAACACCTATATAAACCCTTATTAGGCTTGAAATTCAAGAATGAATTCTTTTCTAGATCTTTGGCCGAAATTCTACTCTACTTCTCTCTCTCCATAGTATTCCTTGGTTGCTTGGTTTGTTTGTGAACCATTATAGGCGCGACACTTGTGGCACTTGCTACCAATGGTCTTTCAAGCAAGGATTCAAGATTATTTACAATAACAATCTTAAATGTATGTTTCATAACCCTTTTCTATATAAATTTTAATTATACACTAGGGATATAGGGTTTATACGTTTTGTTCACAGTTTGCATGTTCAATTAGATAAAACTCAGATCCACTAAATTTAGGGTTGCATTCACACATAGGAATGTATGTTCTTATGCTCAAAACCCATAAGTGGTATCATAGCCTAGGATTAGTTTTCTATTGAATATGATGCAACTGTGAATTGTTCAAAGGAGGAGGGAACAAAATCGACATTATGTTCATCATACTCGACGAGTTGGCTACAACTCGACAAGTTTTGTTGCCCAACTCGACGAGTTGCTGTGTCAGATCCCACATTTTGGATTTTGTTGGCTAACTTGATTTACTGGGTTTACATTTAGTAATTATCTTTTATTTATTATGCCATAATCTGATTTTTAGTAATAGTAGATAATTAAATATAACCTAATTGTTAGGAAATAATTATGGATTAGATAATGATGATTTATTTGATTGTAATTATCCTTATGGATATGGTTAATGATTTAAGTAATTAATTAATTAAAGGACAATTAATATATCCATAATTGGTTACTATATAATTATTAATTGGACTTAATAATTGAAATTAAAAAGTTTAATTTTGAAAATTTAAAATGAGAAACCCTAAAATATATCCTTATGGATTTTATTAATGATAATTAATAAATCCATGTTTGGTTTAAATTTAGTTAAATTAAGAGTTTAATTTATTAAAAGATTAAACCATTTTAAAGTGTTTAAAATACACCTTATACTATATGTAAGATTAAAAGTTTAATGTTTACTATATATATATATATATATATATATATATATATATATATATATATATACATACATATTTAACGAGTCAATCGAACCGCTAGTACGCCTCATTCACGAAACTGGTCTATAAGGGGGTATAAGGAAATTGCCTATAGAATGGCTATTGATTGGGTGTCCACTCTCACCCATCGCTTCCTTGACTAGTGGAGGGTCATTAGCCGAACGGGTTCGATAGGACACTTAATCCTCATTAAAAGTATAATGATAAAGTAACTAAACCATTTTCTAAAATCCCATTCTTTGTTACTTTAGAAAAAATTATGAATTTGATCCTAACCCATGAAATTATACATTGCACCTTATTGGTCCTTAGTGGAGCGTATGTGACTAATCAGCACACTAATATGGACTAATATTGTCGACAATGGGTGTCTTGTAAATTATCATTGATTAATGGAGCATGTGTTGTTAATTGGCACATTAATTGGATGATAAAAGACATCGAGAGTACCAAGGTAATTTGCATGATTATTCACATCTCGTTTGTGATCCTCAATATCCTAGTAACAAAGTGAGAGCATAATCGAGATGAAACATGCCATTGAATAGTTCAATGAATCTCAAAGATCTAGGATTTTCATTAGATTGAAACTGGTAAAAATTTTCCCCTACCTAAAATAGATTCGATTTTGATTACGCCATCCCTCTTCAGAATTCGAATAGAAAATATGGATCTTATCCTTAATATAAATTTTGGGTTAATAATTAAGGATTAAATAAGTAACCTAACTTGAATTCTTTTCTCCTTATATATATATATATATATATATATATATATATATATATATATATATATATATATATATATATATATATATATATATATATATATATATATATATATATGTTTCATTTGAGACCATTCTAATTTTGTGAAACCGTGAGACCAAATCTAAAAATAATTTTAAAATGCAAAATAAATGGAAAAATCCAAAAATTCTTTTTTTAAATATAATTTTCGGAACTTGAATTAACTAAAAAAAATTAAAAAAAAATAAAAAAAAATCCCTTTTTTTAAAAAAAATACATGAAATATTCTAAATAAAATATTACACTGACATATTCTAAAAAGTAATTTTAAAATACAAAATAAATGGAAAAATCTAAAAATTCTTTTTTTAAGTATTATTTTCAGAACTTGAATTAACTAAAAAAATTAAAAAAAAAATTAAAAAAATCCTATTTTTTTTTAAAAATACATGAAATATTCTAAATAGAATATTACACTGTACATATTCTAAAAATAATTTTAAAATGCAAAATAAATGGAAAAATCAAAAAATTCTTTGTTTAAATATTATTTTCGGAATTTGAATTAACTAAAAAAAATTAAAAAAATTAAAAAATGCATCTCACGGTCTCACAAAATTAGGCCGTCTCACATGAACCTAATCATATATATATATATATATATATATATATATATATATATATATATATATATATATATATATATATATATATATATATATATATATATATACAAAAAAAAATTGATATCAACGGAAAAAATATTAAAGTTATGAATTTTTATATTTTTAGAATTTTTTTTCGATAAATAATAAGATATAAAACTTGAAAAAATAATAGTCTATTGGTTCTATGTTTTAAAATGATTCTCTCTCTCTCTCTCTTTATATATATATATATATATATATATATATATATATATATATATATATATATATATATATATATATATATATATATATATATATATATATATAGGTTCATTTGAGATCACTTATATTTTGTGAGACCGTGAGATGCATTGTTTTATTTTTTTTTTAGTTAATTCTAGTTCCGAAAATAATACTTAAAAAAAGAATTTTTGAATTTTTCCATTTATTTTACATTTTAAAATTATTTTTTAGAATATGTACAGTGTAATATTCTACTAAAATATTTCACGTATTTTTCAAAAAAAAATAAGATTTTTTTTTATTTTTTTTAGTTAATAAAGTTCCGAAAATAATATTTAAAAAAAAAAATTTAGATTTTTTCATTTATTTTGCATTTTAAAATTATTTTTTAATATATGTACAGTGTAATATTCTATTTAAAAATTCACGTTTTAAAAAAAAATGGGTTTTTCTTTTTAATTAGTGCAAGTTCCAAAAATAATATTTAAAAAAAAAATGATTTTTCCATTTATTTTGCATTTTAAAAATATTTTTAGATTTGATCTTACGATCTTACAAAATTAGAATGATCTAAAATGAACCTAAACATATATATATATATATATATATATATATATATATATATATATATATATATATTTTTAAATCTTTTGCCATTGATCGTATTAACCCAAGGGCCAAGTTCAAGTTCCCTAGTTCTCTCCAAAATTTGTATTCAATGATCGTCAATAGCTGTGAGCATCAAAAATGGATACTCACTCCTGGAACTAGAACCACCGGAACCTATAATTCCAACCTTCTTAAAATTTTGGAACGAGTACCCAATGGAGGATTGTAACTGGTTTCGATCACTTAAATCTAATTAGTCTTATTAAATATTAACATATACAATGAAACTGAATCATTAACTCGTTTATCATTTATTAATATTGTATTCTAAATTTACAGGTCTACATTATTTAATTTAAAACTTAAACTTGTAAAATTACTACCCAACTTACTTGAGAAGTACTTAAAAACAAATAACTTGACCATTATATGATAATAATACTTTTGTTGTGAAATCAATAATGAGAAGTACAGCGAGAGATTTCACAAAAAAACAGTGACAATTGTTTGAACGTTTTAAATATAACAGGACTTAAATGATGAATAATATCAAATTGTAATTGTTTAAATTTTCCAGTCGAACGCTAAAAACCAGCATGAATTCCTATGGAAAATGGTTAGATTTTAAGGTTTGCAATTTTCTTGGGGCCCATACTTGGTAATAGTTACTTTTTATGAATTATAATGGTTAATTTGTTCCGTTCGTATTTTGCAATGATTAATTAATTTACTTTTTAGTAACAAAAGTTGAAAAAAAAACAAGAAAAACAAAACAAATTAGATACCAGTACTTGGTAAAAGGAACCACCGATTCAGGACCGATTCCAAATCTAAAGAAACGATGCAAACGGTTCAATGGCCAGTTCCAACATTAAAGGAACCGCTGATTCTGGTTCCGGTTCCTGTTCCATTCCCAGCAATTTGGCCAAGTATCCGCCTATGTTCATCCCTAAACTTCTACTACTATTCAATTCTGGTCCAAAACAGAAATTAAATATACCAATATCACCTAACTTTTTTATCATCTATGAACCAGCTTTTAAGTTTCTCATCTTTTCCTTTATGGACAAAACTATGTCAGTATCAAACTTAACCAAGCTGACCAGTTTTGGAAGCAATTTTGTTCACCAAGCTATGCGTTGTGTCTTGAGGACCATCCCAGTATATGTCCAGCATACATCATGTTGGGACCTGTGAGATCTGCAGCAATAGTTTGTATTTTATTTTTTTTAATTAAACAGCCACTGGCAAACACCACCAACAGTGATAGATAAAATCCATGTACCTTCTTAAGCTTTTCAAGATAGATAAAATCCACTTCTTTACAAAGGTCTTCAACATCAGTCGCATACTCCCTTTGATTTTCCTCCAAAATGGACTCCTGTAACTGCTGTCTCATCTTCTCCAATGCTCCTTGCAATCCACAAAACCCATCAACAACAAGAAATTCAGTTGACTTGAGCATCAAAAGGTTCTTGACAGCAAGAAGTACCTGAAAGATAAGATCCCAAATAATACAGAAAACAATTTACGGTTTTGACTGTTGTAATAATTTTTAAAATTATCAAACAACATACAACTATAACCATATTAACCTTCTCGTGGAGATCAAGGTCACTTGATGCCGTCAAATCAATCAGCAGCCTCACCAGTGCACAATTGCTGAAAAAAGGAACCTCCAGTTTGCTACTATATTCTAACTGATATTCAGCCAGATCAGCTACAAGTGACACTGATCTCCTGCGTAGTCTAACATCAGCAGTGGTGTTGCTCAAAACCCCCTAGAAAACAAGTTTTAAATTAGAAAAGACTTTGATTTGTCAACTTCCACATGCATTACCTGTAGCATTAGGTCTCCGCCTTGGGAATAGAACAATTTGAGGCCATTTAGGTTGTTTCTAATGATCGCTGAAACAGCATACAACGCTTTTATGGCTTCTTCCTCTAACACACTAGATTTCACCATTGTCATTAGCTGTGGCAATGCTCCAAGTTCAAGGACCTAAATTTCACACATATACAGTGATTTACAATCCATGTTGAACTCCTCTGACTCTGAAGCTAACAAACAAATGGATTTTAACTTACCTGCTTCTGAACTACAGGATTGTTTTGACTGGCTTTACCAACAATCCATGCACAGGCCACCCTTATTCCAGGATCTGAGTTACTAAGTTCCCGAATAACTGAAGCAAGACCTCCGAGTTTGTGCAGATCTGAATGTAAATAAAAGCTCACAAATTATAAAATGGTTTGCACTTGCAAACTTTTTGGTATGCAGCATCATGATTAGCAAGAAAACTTTAATACAGCTTGAAATGAGGTATCAGATGCAATGGATAACCAAACGTTTCTCAGTGAGTTGAAAAACAATTTCTTAGTTACAGTAAGATTGGCAAGTTGAAAACCTTTGCCCAGTTACAATAAGATTATATTTATGTATCTAGAATCATAAACTCAATAAATTCTAAAGTAAACCCTAGATTAAGAAAGCACATACCGTTAGCATTATCAATTGCCTCAACGAGTATCAAAAGTTCCTCTAATGCACGGAGATGGTCTTCCAAACTCAGAGATGAATTATTTAAGTCATCAATAGCAATTTGCATTAGTTTTGCATCCGATGGCATTTCTAACTTCTCCACCAGTTCCTAAATACAGAAAACATAGAATATACGGAATAAAACAAGTCATCATGAAAACTTTATAAGCATGTTTTATAAAAACATCACACAGAACAAAGTAAAGACACTGATTGAAGATTTTACTTGTACTAGGAGTCTAGAGGACAATTTTAACCATATAAAATGTTTAGTAACCATGTTTGAAATTAAACCACAAAGAAAATCACAAGTAAGGAGACTAATAGATAATGTTACACTCACATATCCTAAGAACATGCTAGACTCACAAACTAAGGTTAATTAAATTTACCCTAATAAATAAAAATTCTTTTGACACATGTCATCTTTTTAGACAATTTGACACTTGTCATTTTTTTATAATTTTGAGATATTTGTTTTCCACTTATGATTTATTTCATTTTTCATTGTTCAATATATCATTAATGTAGTTTCCACAAACTAAATATACCATAATTATTATATTAAAATTAAATTTCAATTTCAAATAAAACTTACAATTTACTCTTTGTATTTAACATTTTGTTATAATATACAGGTCTGACAACTAAACACGTAATTTTAATTTATTTATTTTCACATGTTTTTTATTATTTTCTCATAGTTTTCATTTATTTCAAATTTCAAATTCAAATAAACTTCCTGTTTAATCCTTTCTATTTAATATTTTGTTTTGATCAACCCGTATAATATACAGATCTCACAGCTAGTGACATATTATGTTCAGTATATGCTCTATTGCAACAAGTGTTCAACAGATACATGTTATTACCATATCATGAATATTGTAATCATATTAGTAGAACATAGCAACTATATTAATACCATCATTTGTTACCTCTATAAGAGATTAGTAGAGAATAGATGGTATTTTTAATTTGATTAATGACCTAGGATTAGGCTATGCGACATTGAAGAGAACCTGGTTCTTGCAAGTAGGTATTTTGGAGAGATGGTGGCCTCTCAATGGCATGCTGATTTTGTACTTTGTATTTTCGTTAAATTCAATAGTATACTAATTTGATAGGAACCAATTATGGTAATAACATAGTTGCTACTTAGCCCTAAGGGTTATTAATACCATTTGCAATATAACTTATTAATTATGGAAAAACTAAACTTAACATGCCTACCTAATTCACATGAAATCGTGACTCATGAGTCTAACATACGATGAATTCTTGCGTCAACATAGCTTAGACCTATCTTGGCAAAGCCCCAAACAGTACTTTAATAAAAGGGTTTAAGTTTAACATAACCAAAAACACCCTTAGATTTGTGCTCAAAGAAGCATAGGTGCTCAAGAACCTAACATTAGAAGATAAATGAGGCACAGTGTAACCCTATGCCATACACAAATGTCATATACGATATACAAATAGGATGCATATTATCCGCTACTCACTGTCACGTACACAAGTATACGGATGCATCAAAAGTGTTAAAGCACAACATAGACCACCAGGACCCTAATACAAGGCATAATTGATTCACAAATCACAACACTTTCGGTTTCTTTAATTATTTCATTCTAATCAGTAAGTTAGCACGTCATATATGGCTCAGTTTCTAACCTTGATTTCCATTTGACGTTTTTGTAGCTCATCTGTAGATAACTGCTGAACATCATGCGCTTTTAATTCTAACTTTGCAGGATCTGAGTGACCTGCAGAAATGAGCAAGATATGCCAACTTCAGTTAGAAAAATATAACATTTAAAGCAATATAAACTTTTGTTCACTATATAGGATAAACTAAAAATAACCATTCGCAGTATCAATGTCTACCACACCAAAAAAATTGCACAACTCCAATCATAAAAAGTAAAATGAGTGCATCATAAGCATTTTAGTCGGACAATACTAGCAAGGTTGCTTTTGGTTTACCTCTCATGTTTTCCAAAAGCATTCCAAGATGAGTTGCGACGCTGATATTGATACCTCCCCCCCCCCCTCCCCCCCGGCCCCGACATTTTTGGTCTACAACAAAAGGAATAGGAAGCCCAAGACTTGAATCTATGGCAAGCCCAACTCATCTTACACTGCTTTTGGCAAAATTCCTTTATTAGGGTTATTTTAGTGTTTTGGTTTGAATATTATGTTATGGTCTAAGCACTTATGTCGATGGGACAAAGTTAGTAGGGACAGCACCAGGATCTATTTGCTGGCATTTCCTTTTGTCCTATTCTTTAGTAGTAGTATATATAGTTTAAATAAGAGAGTTAGAGGGTGTCTAGATATTTGGTAAAAGTTCTTTGTGAACCTGGAGAGAATCAACCTTTTGAACCTTGGGAAAGCTTTGATTAACATATAGTTATCTTGAATCTATGGTTATTATCCATCTTTCTGAAGAGATTTTTATCTTGTGAAACTTTAGTTCATCCAGAGGGCTTATCAGAATGTAATATCATCAAGTGATATTAGCTAGTGACTTAATCAGAAAATATCTACGGTGGAAGGTAGAAGAATTCAAATCCATGGAACATATTGTGGTTGGCTCCTTTTCTATGTGCCACCAACTAATGGCATTGAATGGGATCTAAGTGTTGGCTAGGTAGGCGCCTGTAGTACTAACTACAAACAGAGGATACAAAATTAACCCCATAACCAAAATCTCGTTGCCTTTGTAGAATCTACAAAGTCTATTATTGGTGCTGTGATACTTTTATATCATATACAAGCAAATCAATCCAACACAACTGACTTTTAGTGTTTTGTTTTCATTTTTCTTTTTTTCCTTTTTGAACTTAAGTTTGGGAGGAGAGCACAATTAGAGAAGCGACATACAAGAAAAGGTTTAAAAAAAAAATCGACTTATGAGGCAGTACGGTCGCAGCATACCTATTGCCCACTGTAACATCCCATCGAGCGAAGGAAACCCACCGTCGAGTTCATCATGGTCATTCAACGATTCGTCTGTTTCAGCGTTCCGCGCCAGATGCCCGTTACCATTAGCAGTTGACCAAAATAGGCCTCCGGAAGCTGACTGATTAACCGGTTCAGCCATCGAGATCCCTACAGCCATCACCACTACCACCAACGCAAAGGTCAACAGAATCCGTCCCATTCTATGTACGAACACGAACCGACGGTACAAGTTTGTTTAGTGCTATCTCGGTGATCTGCTTGTTTGGTGCTTGAGTAATTAATCGAAGAAATGGCTTGTACCCGGTACCTTTGTTATTCTATCTCGGCGGTACAAGTTTGTTTGGAGCCTTGGAGCCGCTGGTACCTTGTCAAACTAGGTTTTCTCCTAAACAAATTTTTACTTTACCTTTTTCGGTAGGGAAAATGACATACCTTTGTTATTGTATCTAGGCGGTACAAGTTTGTTTGGAGCCTTGAGCCGCTGGTACCTTGTCAAACTAGCCTAAAGAAATTTTTAATTTAACTTTTTCCGCAGTCAAAATGACATAAAAACCCTTAAATTTTTATAAAAATATCAGTTTTATCCTTAAACGTGTTTTAGCTTCAATAAAACCCGAAGTTTTGTTTAATTTGTTCATTTTTACCCTTATAGCCGATTTCTAGGTAACTTAATGCCAGTAAAACCTTAGATATTTCAAAAATGTTCGGATTTACCCTTAAATTTTTCAAAAATGTTCGAATTTACCTTTACATTGATTTTTTATTTTGATTATTTTTATTATTATTATTATTATTATTATTACATTTTTAAATGTATACAAATATTTTATACATACATTTTTAAATGTATAAAAATATTTTTACTAATATAAATATATTTTTAAAAATATATATACTTGTATTTAGTATTTATATACATTTGAAACCCCATGTATTCTAATGTATTTATTTGTAATTAGTAGGTATAACTATATGTTTATTTCATATAAAAATATATTATATGCATATAAATATAAAAATGCAAATTTATATGGTTTACATTATATAAAAGATATAATTAGATGTATTTGTACATATTACCAAGTATAAATATGTTTAGGGTTTAGGGTTTAGGGTTTAGGGTTTAGGGGTTAGGGGTTAGGGTTTAGGGGTTAGGGTTTAGGGTTTAGGGGTTAGGGTTTAGGGTTTAGGGTTTAGGGTGTAAGGTTTAGGGTTTAGGGTTTAGGGTTTAGGGTTTAGGGTTTTAGGGTTTAGGGTTTTTGGTTTAGGGTTTAGGGTTTAGGGTTTAGGGTTTTAGGGTTTTGGGGTTTTAGGGTTTAGGGTTTAGGGTTTAGGGTTTAGGGTTTAGGGTTTAGGGTCAGGGTTTAGGGTTTAGGGTTTAGGGTTTAGGGGTTAGGGTTTAGGGTTTAGGGTTTAGGGTTTAGGGTTTAGGGTTTATGGTTTAGGGTTTAGGGTTTAGGGTTTAGGGTTGAGGGTTTTAGGGTTTTAGGGTTTTAGGGTTTTAGGGTTTTAGGGTTTAGGGTTTATGGTTTAAGGTTTAGGGTTTTTTTTTTGTTTTTTTGGGAAAGAGGCCGAAGCCCCGGCAAAGATTTTATAAATTTAGAAAAAGAAAAACAAGAGTTATGTCATTTTTGGACAAACCCCAAAAATGACAAAAATCCAAATATCACGAAGATACCAAAAGTAAAGACTATGCCTAACGACAATGTAACCAACGGAAATACAATTTATTTTATCCCAACTCCACAATCCGGAGTGGTCTTCAAAATTCCATTCCAAAACGACTTGAGCACGCCATCTTTTCTCCCAATCTTCATAAAAATAATCTCTATGTATGCTCCAAATTCCAAAGCTAAGAATAACGCAATTCCCATGATCAAAAATACCCCAAAAATTCCACAATAAAATGAATATAGTTTCTACATTCCAATTCCCAATGAAATCCACAATAGCAATCTTCTTTCTTCTCTCCATCCTTTTATCTTTATTTCCATATAAGTATAGCAAAAGTATAATGCTAAAAATAGACACTCTATTGTCCTCTCTATTCACAATATCCCAATACTTACAATCCTTATCCCTATAGCTCCCAAAAAATAAATCTATACCCAAAATCCCTCTAATTCTTTCCAAAATAACAAAATTAAGATTGCACTTGCTATCAAACCCTCTTCTATGTGTATCAAAAATCTTCAAAAACATTTTCAATAAGGTCTTCCAATTATCTTCCATTCCAACAACTCTCAATAAATTCTTTAAATTTTCTCCATCTTCAACAAAGTTAAAAAGAATATATCCGTCAATTCCATGAATGTAAACACCATGTTTCCATGAAGCATGTTCACTTTTAAGGGAAAAAGTGATAAAAATCTCGAATCCGTCAATTCCTTGAATATACTCTCCTTGTTTCCAAGGCGGAAAATCACTTTTAAGGGAAAAAGTGAGAAAAATCCCAAAACCGTCAATTCCTTGAATAAGCTCATCTTGTTTCCAAGACGGAATTTCACTTTTAAGGGAAAAAGTGATAAAAAATCCCGATTCCGTCAATTCCTTTGATATACACACCTTGTTTCCAAAGCGGGGGTTCACTTTTAAGGGAAAAAGTGATAAAAATCCCAAAACCGTCAATTCCTCTTATATACACGCCTCGTTTCCAAGGCGGAAGATCATAACAATTGAGAAACCCCAATTGAAAATGATAAAAGTCCACTTCATAAGGCCTTAACCAAATGAAACTCGGGATCAAGCCGAGATGCAATTCACTTTTAAGGGAAAAAGTGATAAAAATTCCGAATCCGTCAATTCCTCTTATATACACACCTCGTTTCCAAGGCGGAAGATCATAACAATTGAGAAACCCCAATTGAAAATGATAAAAGTCCACTTCATAAGGCCTTAACCAAATGAAACTCGGGATCAAGCCGAGATGCAATTCACTTTTAAGGGAAAAAGTGATAAAAATTCCGAATCCGTCAATTCCTCTTATATACACACCTCGTTTCCAAGGCGGAAGATCATAACAATTGAGAAACCCCAATTGAAAATGATAAATGTCCACTTCATAAGGCCTTAATCAAATGAAACTCGGGATCAAACCGAGTTGCAATTCACTTTTAAGGGAAAAAGTGATAAAAATCCCAAATCCGTCAATTCCTTTTATATACACGCCTCGTTTCCAAGGCGGATGATCATAACGATTGGGAAAACCCAATTGAATATGATAAAAGTCCACTTCATAAGGTATTAACCAAATGAAACTCGGGATTAAACCAAGTTGCAAATCACTTTTAAGGGAAAAAGTGAGAAAAATCCTAAATCCATCAATTCCTTTTGTATCCGCACCTCGTTTCCAAGGCGGAAGATCATAACCATTGGATAAATCCAAATGGAAATGATAAAAAACCACTTCATAAGGTCTTAACCAAATGAAACTCGAGATCAAACCGAGATGCAATTTACTTTTAAGGGAAAAAGTAATAAAAATCCCATAACCGTCAAATCCTTGAAAATACACACCTTGTTTCCAAGGCGGATAATCACAATAAATGAAAATGAATTCCATATATTGATGAAAAGTGACCACATCATAAGGCATAACCCAAATGATACTCGGGATTAAACCGAGTTGCAATCCAATTTTAAGGGAAAAATTGGTAAAAGTCCTATGACCGTCAATTCCTTTGTAAAAATATTGGAAATGAACTCCTTCATAGTCAACAGAATTCATCCATTTCCAATAATTCCATTTTTGCCCTTTGACCAAAATAAGATTCACACTTCTGTTACACCTCAATCCAATGGTTTTAGTATTATCTCTTTCCTTGTTTTTATAAACGCCATCCAAACTCCAAAAAATTATCACCAAAGTACGACAATTGAAACCCTTCACATAAATATGACCATATTGCCCCTGCCTCCTCTTCCTAATATTCCAAGAAGATTTATTCCCAATAACATTCCAACCATTTGGCAAAACCCACCAAACTCCATTATGATCATTCCGGTCACCATATTTTCCATAATTAGAATGATGCCCAAATTGCCCTTGCTTGTATTCTTTCTCAATTAAGCCCAGAAATCGCAGATTATTACCCCACCCTTTCCTGTCTTCAATTTTTAGTTGCTTATCACAAAACCGATCCATCAAATCCCTATAAATGATTTCATTACATCGAATTCTGACATCCCTCCTTAAAAACTTGCTTTTACCAATCTTCTGAATAAAATACCCAATCACCACATCATTTTTGCAATCCTCGATCAGCCCCTGTTCAAAAGAGAAAAAATGGCTATTTTCATTACTCAAATCTATCTCCTGTCGAGCTTCTAGAAAATCGATAGAATCAAAATCATACACAAACCCATCGTTCACGACATGATCATCCATTTTATTTTTCCCCTAAAATTGACCAAAATACCCTTTGGTCCAGATTTTAAAACTCTCGATTTTATTAATACCCTTCCCTTTTTCCTCCATATCGATATCACAGTCTCTAATCTGCCATCGATTCCTCACCAGCCACCAGGCCAACACCCCACTCGATCCAATCCTCATCTTAATTACGAAATTCATGGAGATAATCAATTTTATTAACAGGAACATTCCACTTCTTGCAGATTTCTTCATTAAGCCCAAGATATCCCAATTTAAGACTGAATATCTTAAGCCTAATATCATCCATAATTATCTTAACAGTGACATCCACCGAATTTCTCTGTTTTCCAAATAATCTTTTATTCCTTTCATTCCAAATGTGATAGATGGAAGCAGCCAAAGCCACCTTTTTGATGAAATTAACAATACTCCTCTTCTTTAAAGAACATTGGAACTCTTTTATTATTTCAAACCAATTGCCTGGTCTGTGATTCAAGTTCACCTTGCTTTTTATCACCTTCCACACTTCCATTGGGTAGCCACATTCGAAAAAGAGATGAGAATGTGAATCCACTTGATTATTACAAAAAACACAACATAAATCATTTGAATCTTTCCATTTCTTCATTCTATCTTGAGTTCTAAGTCTTCCACGAATAGCAAGCCAAAGAATGAAGCAACGGCTTGGAATTCGATTTTGAAACCACACCAAATCATACCAGTCCACCATTGGTTCATTGCAGATAAGGGAAGAGGAAACATGGCTAACAGCAAATGGAACAATCTTGCCTTTAAAATTCAACCAGCAGACTTCATCTTTTTTCTCTCTGATCAGATTAATTACTGGAAATTCATTCAATTGAGGGATCATATTTAACCATTCAGCAGGCCATCTCCAATCAGCATTAACAATGACTTCACTAACTTGGTCCTTAATATTATAACCAGCATTAGTAATTTCCCTATGCGAAAGGACATAACTCAAAGGCCCTAATTGATGCCAATTATCAAACCACATAAACGTATCTTCACCATTACCAATCTGAGTATAAAAATAGTCCCGCACATAAGGCCTTAT